ATGTTTCAGATGTTGTGTAGTTTCAATCATAATGAACAATCATTTGTATATTCTATACATCAGTTTACACGTGGATATGTGTGTGTGTGTCTATATATATATATATATATATATATATATATATATATATATATATATATATATATATATATATATATATATATATATGGACGTGAAAAATGAAACATAATCGAGCGGTTTTCTCGCCTGTTATTTTTTCGGCCGACCAGTTCCTTCTTCAACCACGTCGGAAATTGCAGAGGTTCAGGCTTCGAAGCTTCCATATGAGGGAGGTCACATTGAATTCCATAGTTATGTCTTCCTGTTGATCCCTCTAGAGCGTATGTTGTATCTTTTTGGTCGCTTCAAGTTCGACGCGCAAAACATTCTCACCATGAAGGTTTTGGTATTATAGCTTTAAATGTACTGACGAGGCAACGACATCCAACTTTGCATTGAAGATACTACATAGGATGCAATTATAAAGGCTCTTCCATGGGATGACCAAGAATTGAGTGTTGATGGATCGAATCTCCCTTTCCTCTCCTAAAGATACCATTAACTCTATATATCCATAGGGACAAATGCTTGTCTTACTGAATGCTATTTAGCCCCCCTTCCAAGGAATTTTTTCTCGAACAAAGATATGTAGATGATGTCACACGAGCTTCCTTCATCAATCAAAATTTGCGAGACATCAAATTTTCCCATAATAGTTGTGATCACTAGGGGACACAATTCGTTAGAAATGCCCCCAACCTTCTCAGAATCCTAAAACCATAGCATAGGTTGGTCGTGAATTTTGGATGACACGTTAACCTCTGTTTCTGTAGACGGCCAACATTTTGGTGATTTCCTCTTCAATGTTCCTTTGGAAGGGAGGTTTTCTCAGCGTGCTCTACCAGTAATTACAACAATGTGCGGGAGTTTTCCCTGGTTGGTTTCTCTTTTCTCAATGTTGGGATCAACTTTAGAAACCTTTGCAGGATACTTGGTCTTTAGAGATTCTTCTCGGTCTCTCTTACCACGTCTGACTTACTCGAGTAGTTGTCCTTTTTTGATTAGTGCTTCAATTGCGTCCTTGAGTTGGATGCAATCGTCCATGTTGTGGTCTTATCCTTTATGGAAGCGAAAATATTTTGAGTTATCTATCCGAGCAGTCTCCTGGACAAGGTAAAAAACCTGGATTCCCCCTTTCCTGAATTTAATATTAGCACATTCTTGGTAAATCTTATCTCGGGAAGTATTCAAAGGCATGTACTTATCATACCTACTACACATCCCTCTACTAGTGTTTAGTTTTATGTTGCAAGAATTCCTTCCCGTGTGGGAGATTAGAGCTTGCATTGGAGGCCGATGTTAAGTTGTCGTAGTGAGTATTTAACTTCTCTTCTAATTTCATGTAAGGTTGGGCTAGGTTGAACATATCTTGAGTCGTATTTACATTTTTCTTTCCCAACTTTTTGTGGAAATGATGGTCTCAGAGCAGGCCATTCTCGAAGATCCAGCTAGCATTGGAGAGACTCTTCAGTCCTCTCTACATTTACTACAACCTAGTTGAATCAATCGATGTACTACCATAAGCTCTCTTTTTCCTATTTAATGATGATGCTCAAGGAAGCTGTGGTAACTGATTGCCTCTTCTATACGGTAAATAGAGTGATAAGTCGATTGTAAAAGTCCGACCATGACTCTATGCAACTGTCAGGGAGGCCATTGAACCATGGTATAGTCGGTCTGACTAGTGTTAATTCTATTACCTAGCATTTGAAGGCTTCTCAACACTGTAGTACTTGAGTCGATCATTGGAGAGTTGGATGTGTTTGTTGGTGTCTCCTTTTCCATTGCACTCTCCTAGTTTTAGAGGCTTTTGAATTGACTTAGGGATTCTGCCATCTAAGATCCAGGGTTAAAGCACCACTGCCTCGGTCTCCTCCCATACTCCGGGGAGGGAAGTCGTGTTTTCCACCTTCAGAATGGTCTTTTGACTTTAATAATTTGCTTCCCTTTGCCGTGGACGGCTCCATAATGTTGGAGCGATTTCGCCCAAATGTTGCCTCTTGATTTGAATTTTCTCGGGATTGAGTGTGGTGGAAACTTTTCTGTAAATGATGGAACCTTTACTCCACTGCTTTGGAGTTTTGTTGATGAAAATTGTTGTATATATAGTTGATCAGTTTGTTTGTGCCTTAAGGGCCTAGTTTCACTTCAAGAATGCCAAAAACCACGCGATATCTCTTGTCGCTCAACAGGAAGAGGAGTACGAACTCCTGGCGGCGGTGCTTGCACAATTTTGGTTCTTGGAGGAGGTAGGATTTAAGTTGGTTTTGGAGGAACGTCGATGCTGAAATTCATTTTTCTAGGAGGAGGAGTGGTGTTCGGTCGACTAACGGTGGTCAGTGCTACATCGATAGCAGCTTGAATAACTTCACGCGCAATGGTGGAATGAGTAGATCTAGATACAACCATTTTCGATGATCGGAAAAGTCAGAAGTATGGAGAGTTGAAGATCTGAGGAATTGGTAAGTCGTTATCGATGTTGAATTTTATTTGATCGAACAATTGAGTTTTATGTTCGACTTGTTGGAGAGAACTTCTCACCAGAAAACTAAATGTCGAGATAGAGAGTTGAAGAGAATACGAAAATCTGAATTTGTTCCTATAGACGACATCATTGTTCCGTTTTGGAACCAGAAATAGAGAGTTGTGGAAGCTGCAACAGAGTGAAGCTTCTAGTGCAACAATTAAATCAACATGTAAAAAAGTAGAGATTGTTCAAAATGCATTTGAAACTTGTTATCTGAAATGACACCATTCCTTATATATAGAATGGAAAAATAACGACCTCGCTATTTCTCAGACGTGAAATGTAAAGGACCGTTGGATATTCGTTTCAATTTATTTTGTAACTATTTTTTAGTTTTTAAGATTAAAAAATAATAAAATTTGTTTAGTAGTAAATTTTACAAAAATATTTCTTAAAATTATTCTCGATTTAAAAGTATTAAAATTAAAATAAATTTTAAAGATTTTGGCTTTTAACTTATAGTTTTGAAAACCAGATTGAGAAACAAATAAATAATAGAAAATTTATAATATTGTACGACTTCAAAATAACTTATAAAAACTAAAACGCATTCAAATAAGTCTCAAGTTTCTTGTTCGAAAGAATTTTAGTTTTTAAAAAACTATTGTGTAAATTAATTTCAAAAAATAATTTGAAATAAAAAAACAAAAAAAAATACATGTTTTATAATTTTATTTTTAAAAGTTATTTTAAAATTATATAATATAATAAATTTTTCATTAATGAAAAGTGTACCAATATTTATTGTTTTTTTCTCTTAATTTCCAAAACTAAAAACCAAAAATAAAAAACTTTATATACTATTTTTATTTTTTATTTTTTAAAACTCTCAAATAAAGAATATTTTTCAAAAATAATTAAAAAAATTAGATTATCAAACAAGTTTATTATTTTCAATCAACTTTTTAATTTTTATGGTTTATTCTAATGAGTCCTATATTTAGGGAAGGTAATACTAAATTCATTAATATTACAAAAATGTTTAACATATGATGTTTAAAAAAGATGTATAAATGATAAGTTCACTTCTGTTCTAAAAACATATGTAGTTTAATAACTTTTTTTATTAGATTTTAATGTTTCACATTCTATTTTTTGGGATATTTTTATAAATGAAGTATTTTTATAATAGGTATAAAGAATTGTTATAAAAAACTGAAGTATATTTATTGTATGTTTTAGACTCAATGATAAACTGTTTATTCAATGATAAATGAAGTATTTTTATAAGACTTTTATGAATTATATTCTAAAAAATAATTTTTTATTAAGATGGATGAGATAGTTGAATTAATATGAATTAATTTAATTAAATATTTATAAGTTATTCATTCAGAGTTTAATTATAAAAATATTAATTTTTTATAATATAATAATATAAACAAGTTGTTGATAAGTATACAACTTAAAAAAAAATCTTGATTAGTCAATGACAAATAATTGAATTTATAATCTCAAAAAAATAAATTTTGGCTTCAAAAATTTTATTTTAATTGATCTTTTATATTTTTTATATATTTGTGTCCTCAAATAGATATTACCAAATGTTTGAAATGAAACTTTTTGACTTTTTATTATTTTATTTAAAAAGTAACATTAAATAAAACTTTATGAATATAAATGATGCGATGAATCCAATATTTACATAAATATCTCTTTATTTATTCTCTTTTGTAAGATAATTAAATAATGGTGGAAGAGATGTAACATGAGGACACAAATATATTTTTATAATACTACCATTCAAACATACTTTAGTCATTATTATTAAAAAAAGTAAAAATAAGTATTGGTTCCTTATTTTTATATATATATATATATATATATATATATATATATATATATATATATATATATATATATATATATATATATATATATATATATATATATATATATATATATATATATATATATATATATATATATATATATATATATATATATATATATATATATATATATATATATATATATATATATATATATATATATATATATATATATAGGATTTATTAAATATATTATAATATATATTATATATAAAGGATTTTAAATATTTTAATACACTCCAAAACAAAAGATTGTTGAATATCAACACTAAATCATAAATCATCAAACGCTTAATGAAGAAGCAAGCTATTTTATAAATATAAAAGATATTTACATATTCTAATAAAAAAACGTGTAATATTATTTAAAAATTGACATTTATTGAATAGTTAATGTGTTTGGACAAAATATATATTATATATATGAATTATTTAATAAATTTATAAAGTAAATTTTATTGAGAAAAAGAAATGAAGGGTGCATTTGTTAGGCCACAGACACTATAAAACCATCATTCGGGTGTCTCTATGAAGCACTCAGAATTATTTAACCAGTGTTAGCGATCTAGATTAGTTAGAAGATGGGTGAGGGAAGAGGCAGTGTTAGTAGCACAAGTGTTTTTACAATGCTATTAGTATGTATGTTTGTGTTTCATTCTAAGATGATTTATGCAGTAACGTACAGTGTTGGTGATGGGCAAGGTTGGTCCTTTGGTGTTCAAAACTGGCCTTCCGGAAAAAGTTTCAAGGCAGGCGACACACTTGGTAAGCATCCCTTATTGTTTTTTATTCTTGTATATTATTCAAATGCATTAATAATTAAAATGAACTATTATCTAAGACATGTTTTAATTTTAAATTGTTTTTTAAGTGCAGTTTTTAAGTATGACCCTAGGGTACACAATGTAGTGAAAGTGAACCAGAATGGCTACAATTCATGTGTGGCTGGTGGAGGATCAGCAACTTATAAATCTGGAAATGATATGATTACACTTGTTAAGGGAGCCAACTACTTCATATGTGGTGTTCCTGGTCATTGCGATCTTGGACAAAAAATTGCCGTCAACGCAAATTAAGCTCTTAATTAATGTATTGCATTCTTGAATAAAGTTGAGTAATTATTACTCTTACAAATTGTACCTCCTTGCATTTCAATATATAATGTGATTTTATTTTCATACCTATACTTTTGCTACTCTATTTTTCTTGAAACAAGTGATTTGTCCGGTGATGGCTGACTGTTTACCTTTATTTTAAAATTTGACAAGAATCAATTTAAACATCAATAAAAAATTGCTTAATCTTGTAGTCTTGAATAAATAAAAAATTAATATTTATATCTAAGTGGTGAGATTGACGGATAGTCGATAGTTTTGGTCTCCACATCATTCTGAGTTGTATGTTCGTAGGTCTAACTTCATAGATGTTTTGAAGTGTATCGAACCACTAGAATTTCTGTTGTATTTTAGAATTTCTGTTACTGTGGCGGTCATGACCTTCGAGAACACTGTGTCAAGAATTTCTTCAATCTTTATCTGACTTTAGAATCTTTAACATCATTTCTCACCTCATCTTCTCTCATTCTGCAACGCTGATCGGAGGAAATTTTTCACTGAAGTTCCTCTTTATGTGGTAATTGTCCTTCAATCTTATCAACAACTAAAAATTGGTGTTAGGTTAGAAGATTCGAAGGAATTTTCAAAGAGAAATCAGAGATTATCTTCTTCACCTTAACATTATTTGAATTTTGGACCAAACAAGACATGATCGTCAAAATTCACAGGAATTAGAAGCCGATTCCCAAAGATTGCGCCTATGTTCCACTTGGGAGCACAAAATATGGATTAATTGAGGTGGTAGACTCCTGATGTGGTGGCGCAGGTCTCCAATGCGACAACACGAGGTGGATCTATAAGATTAGTACTCCAACACCCTACTCAGTGAGTGAGTCCAGAAAAAGGGTGTAGAAAGAAGTATTAAAAAGTGTGTGTACCTCTCGCCTACGGTTTAAGCATCTAAAAATTTTCACAACCAATTCGTCATTTAGAAATAATTTTTTCTTAGAGTTCTCGTATGACTCACAATATGGGTAAACAATGTTTCCATTTGATTTATGTTCTCTTCAAGTTTAATTCTGAAAAATTCATACTCGTGATGTGCTCAACCTTTCTCTCTTTACTTCAATAGTCCCTTCGATTGTAATTTAAACGACGTCTTACTTTTGTAGTCTCATTGTGAGAACTTTGGAAAAAACTCATTAAGACCGAAAAAGTATAAATGATGATTTTTTTTCCGTCAAAATTTGCTGTATGTTTTCTTTATCATATTTGGTCCAATCTTTTCAGGTTTGTTCACTACATCACCATCTATTTCGTGTGTATGAACAAATTAACCTTCCTTCACAGTCTTCTAAATACCACGATCCATCCCTTTGATGAAGAACTTCATCATTTCTTCATTAAAGGATAGTAGATTTTTTAGTGAATACCTCAAAGTCATTTCCTTCTCGGCCGATTAGTCTTTAGTAGGAGTTAGGTTGTGATGCTACTTGTTAAATAGGTGAATTAAAACACAAAGGGAGGGGTGAATTGTGATATTTAAATTTTTTTTATTAATTTAAAAAATAATTACATAAAACATTAAGTTGTGTTAGTGGCGAGAAAATTCATAGAGAAATCATTACTACGGAAAACTCAATTAACAACAATTGAGAAAGATATATAACAATGCGGGCTCAGGCGTTGTTATGTAGAGTGTCGTTGAATATATGATACTTACAATCATGGCCCAGTAGCCGTTGTAATAAACTGGAAAGCGCGCTCCTTATCACAACAATTTTCCAAAAGACTGTTGTGATACATTTAATGGTCCTGGGTTCGATTCCCATATGTTCTGTTTTGATATTTATTTTTTTATGGACAGCGCGCGAGATATTATAACGGTTATGACTATAACCATTGTTAAATTTTCTACATAATTAACATATATTATCCTGCTTTTATAATTAATCTCATTTTTTAACCTGTATTATTATTCACCATATCACAACAGAAAATAAAACTCACATTTGTGATAAAGTTATCTGAATAATATTAATTGTATCATATTCATAATATCACATAATTGTATCATATTCAATTGTACCATAACAAACATCCTACAATTTATCATAATAAACAATCTACAGTTTATACATTACATAACATCACATAATTGTAACTTGGTATTTTGGTGTCTTGTCTCTTGGTGTCTTGACTATGAAGATCTATATTTTTAAATAATTATACTTGTTAGTAAAAATACTTGGAAACTATAACATACATGAATATATTATGAATAAAGAATAAATTACGTATTTGTTAATTTTCCCAAATGCCTTCTTCATGATCGATTCGAATAGTATGGTCAACATCTCCATCAACTTCATCATATGAGGTAGGAACTTGTGTTGTGTAAGAAGGTGTGGACGGGATATCAAGACTTTCATCACTAAGAGGAATGTGTTTTCCTTGGAGGACGATTGAGCATTTCCTCGATATGTCCGATGGGTCAGTAACATAGAAAACTTGTTTTGCTTGAGAAGCCATGATGAATGATTCGGTCATAAAAGATGCCTTGCCAAGGTCGACCCGGGTGAATTATAAGTTACAATGTGTACACCATTACTATTATTGGGAACCCATTTTCATTTAAATAAATCCATTTTAAAATAACATAATCAATCTCCCAAATCTCATCAATGACACCATAAAATGCAGTAGTTACCAATACAGGATTCTTATCTTTCAAACTAGAGAAATACATCGATCAAGCTTCAACTATAACCCCACTATTTTACATTATACTACGATCATCTTTTGATTTTGTATAAAAGGTATAATGACCAATGTTTTATGCATTCCAAGTAATGACACAAAATTTTGGCTCGTACGAAAACCATTTAAGTATCTCGGATGCACTACGATCATTAGATACACTTTTATTAAACCAATATATGAATCTCTTGTTATGCTCTATCAACAACAACTTATCACTCATTCAGGAATATTTTTCCCTCAAAAGTCTTTTGTGAGTATCTATGAAAGTTTGAACTTCATTTATATTATTGGCAAGTACCATAACACTTTAGCAGGAGGATGCTTCCTACTAACATTGTCATGGTAATTTTCATCACCATTGTCGGCCTTTATCTTGTAACGCGACACACCACATTTTGGACAGTGATACAAGTCTTCATACTTTTTCATGTATAATATACAATCATTAGGACAAGCATGTGTTTTGATATATTTCAGGCCCATTGGACACAATATCTTCTTGGCCTCATAGCAACGATCTGGCAATTTGTTCTCTTCTGGTAACATTTGCTTTAGCAATTCAAGTAATTCCGTGAAACTTTTATTCGACCATCCATTTTTTTCCTTCAGATTAAACAACTTTAACACCACCGACAATTGTGTAAAATTTGTGCATCCCTTATATAAAGGGGTGTCTTTATCACTATATAAGGTATCATAAATATGAGCATTCTTAAAAGAAGATTCCCCAATATCACAAAACATGTTCTCTAGTTGATCCTCCACATATTCATCATCATCCACTCTTTGACTTTGTGGCGCCCGACTTTCCTCCTTATCAACCTCACCATGCCACGTTCATATTATATAATTTTGACATATACCATCACAACAAAGGTGCTGAAATATTTCTTCCTTTGTACCCTTATCGATATTCGTGCAAACAACACAAGGACAATAAAAGATACCATCATTTTCGGGAAGATGTTTATCAATGTATTCAAGGAATTCAAGAACTCATTTCTCATAAACCAGAGCTAATCTATCGTCTTTCATCCAACTATAATCCATAACAACTTTTAAAATTTATACACGTATAGTAATGTGAATGACACACGAAAATCTAAACATAAAGTAAATCTAAACTTAAAGCATGTGAAAAATGTACTCTCATATTGACTTGAGCATATATACAAAGAAAAAATGAATGAAGATGTTAAAGAGTACCGTACTTCGAAGGTGAAGAATCTTATGCACATAAAGAATTAAGATATTAAAGAGTACTGCACTTTGAAGCTGAAGAATCAAATGAACAAAGAGGGTGAAGATTTGAGGATATACAACATAAACCAAGAAAAAACGAATGAAGATATTGAAGATTTCCGTACTAGGAAGTTGAAGAAAAGATGAATGAAGTGTCTGAAGATTTGAGCTCAAATGAATGGATATGAAGAGGGTAACGATTACGCCACCTCTGTCATCTCTGGCTCGCTTGTTCACCTAGGGCGTCTTATGAAAGAAATACGAAATAAGTTTTGTTTTAATTTATCAATAGACCCTTTAATCGTGGTTGGACAAAGCAACCGTAGTGGAAAGTTAAGTCCTCTCTAATAGCGATTGGTGTATTCACCATTGTTAAATCATTTACAATTTATTTTTTAAATAATGGAGATAGGTGACACACACTTAATGTACTCACAAAAATGGAAAAAATGTAGTTGTTGGGAATCGAAGCGTGCTACACATCATTTTTTACTACGATATTTAAAATCAATCATCATTAAACTACTGTTTATAAATCCAGCAACTCACTGGGCGTGAAAATTATAACCTATCACTACGGTGTATATGAATACGTTGTAACCATGGCGTTGTTGTTTGCGCATTTTGTAGTAGTGAATAAAGAAGAAAGAAAATAACATAGTAAAGTAAATGATAAAGATTAAAAGATAGGGTTAGAGAGATGAGACCAATATTTATACAGATTCGGCCAAATGTTGGCCTAGTCCTTTGGCCAAGAGATCTTCTTAAGAATTCCAGTAAAAATTTGAGCTTTTACAGATTATGTTAGGTTTTGTTGTGTTGGTTGCATTTTGCTAAAACAAGTATTTCAGCAAGATGTTGGTCAAAATGTCATGACATGTTGGTATGACATTGTAGCTCAAGGTTTGTTTTACATTTGTGAAGATTTGTTTGTAGTACAAGATCTTTGAAGATTTGATTTATGTTTCGTGTAGACCAAGCTGCACATATGAAGATTTAGTTCTCAGAAGATTTGT